AGACAAATTGGGCCATGTGTTGATTTTAATATTCTATCCAAGTTTTCAGTGTTTCTATATACAAAACTTGAAGAAATCCCAGGGTAGCAGTTAGTTTATTGCATTATTTTCACCCAGAATTGTGTGTTTTCTTTTTTATTATTTTGGTATAATAGTGTCATTTGTTGTATTCCTAACATAAGTAATCTTGCTGATTACTGCGCAATGGGGATCTATGTTACAGGATTCTTCACTTTACTCTTTTACATTCTTTTAATCTATGATCCTTTGAAATCTTGCTATTACATGGAACAAACCTCTCCGGGAGGCTGAGAATATGGCTTAAAAACCCATTTCTGCTTTTTTATTTAGAAGAAAGAGTTTCTTTCACCTACCTGAACAATGAGTTCAAATTCTAGAATCTGGAAAATTATAAGTTAGGCTTCATGCTGACATTTTGAAGTCATATGGGGATATCAGTTATGGTTTGATTGCTAAATAAAATCATCAGCTGAGTATCTGTAGTGTTCATGATTTGTGTAATTCTTGTTTGATTTATGTAATTCTGTTCTAAATTAAGGGGCTGTTCTTCGCCAAAGCTCGAGATATAACTGGGTTGACTGAATTGCCATTGGAGGTTTCCTCAGGTAGTGCTACACAGGATTGTCTAAACCAGCTTATGGGTAGGTTTCCAAACTTGGGAGAGATTTGTGGGTGCATCTTTCTTGCTTTCAACGAGGGATATACAACTAAGTCAGCTGTTGTTAAGGACAAAGATGTGTTGGCCATTATACCTCCTATAAGTGGTGGATGAATACTTTTGTCTCATTGTTTTACAAGAACTAAAAGAATAAAATTTCTCCAAATCTGTATAATGTTCAGTTGAGCAGTGTGGCGACCTCATGATCATGAATAGAGAGGCCCTTGAATCTGCGATATTTACTGAGTCATTTATGTTCATGGTTCATTTTTTTAATGGGATTTGTTCATTTGGATGATGAAAGTATACGTACAAGTTATGGAAACACAATAGATACTTATGTTCATTGTCCTTTTCCCTTCTCATGGTATCACCTCTCATTGGATTTTGCCTGGCATTGAGAGCATTTTCTATTGTAGATTATCTATATGGAAAACAATATAGAGTAGGTGTTCATGGATGGGATTGATATGTTTTAGGTTTGGTTGCAATACCATTCAAGCTCGAGTCAATCTATTTAAATTATAAATATTATATACATATATATATTTTGTGTTCACAACATACATAAATTGAATCTAGTATTTAACACATAATTTCAATTTTATCAATTTTTTGCTTTCATTTTCACATGCATTAAAATTTAGGTTCTTCTTTCGTACGGATTTGTTCAAAATTCAGCTTCTTCTTGCTTTGACCAGGAGAGATGTGTTTGAGTTGTGAGCCGATATTTGTTTGAAAAACCTTGGCATGATCCAATATTATCTTCAATCATAATCCAATCTTTGAAACAAGCTTTTCTATTGCAATATCTACAAGCTAAGGCCTTGAACTGTTCAAAGAAGCTTTGGTGTAATCAAATTCTTAGAAAATGTTACAAATAGTGGCAGAAAGCACATATATCTTAGAACTATAGGTTGAATTTTCGCCAATATTCATCCTAATCTTTATCAGGGCTGATGTTGAAAACAAAAAACAATTACCCAAAAAAACTTCAAAGTTTCAAGCATAAGCCAGCTGCATGCAAGAAAGGTCAATAATGACCAACAGGGCTAACCCACTCCTCATCTATAAATACCCATCTTCACTAATTGCCATAACACAAAGTCACAAAAAAAATCAAAGCAGGAAATTAATTGAGATAGTGCAGTAGAGTGAAAGGAACAAAAAGATGGCTTCAGATGAATGCAAAGGTAACTTTCAATGCCAATAGTGCCTTGTAATTGTACTAATAAATGCCTTTCTTTTAATACAATTATATAAATTCTTGTGCCTATAAATATATGTAGGGAAAAGTTCGTGGCCGGAGCTCGTGGGGAAGAAAGGGGAGCATGCAGCAGCGACGATTGAGAAGGAGAATCCTCATGTCAATGCAGAGACAGTGTTGGAAGGAACAATAGTCATTGGGGATTTCTTGTGCACTAGGGTTCGTGTTTGGGTTAACACTTATGGGATCGTTACTAGGGTTCCGATCATAGGTTAAATTGCAAAGGGCTTAATCATGCTTAACTAGCAAGTTATTTGCTTTTATTCTTCAATAATATTTTGTAAAATGTTAATATGGAGATCTATATATTATAATTTAAAATAAGAATAACGCCCCAAGTTATGGTTATATGTATAGACCTCATGGTCTCTGTGTAAATGTGTAATTTGTTTTAACTTTGAAATAAGATGCTAAATAGTTTTAATTAGAATTTATCCTTTATCATATTTTTGTCATTCTCTTGAATTTATAATTAAGGCAGAAGTACAGTAAAATTTTGACGTTGTCGACCTAAAGGGTCCATATTATTTGCTAAATGCCCTCTTACATCCTCTTAATACCTATCTCTTCAAGAAGGATTAATTCTTATTATCGTATGTTTAGAGAATATTATCAGAAAATAACAACATCCTTCCAGTATTTTTTTTGTTCTTATTTTTGATTGATTTTGAGAGAACGAGATTTGAATCCCACTTTTTGAAGAAGGAATGCATGCACTTTCGTTTTACAATAATATTTTTAATTTGAACATGAGATTAGGATACTAATTAATTAATGTTCATTAATGAATTGTTATTTCAGTTGTACGGATTGGAATTGTCAAAAAGAAAGTCAAGAAAAATAAAAAGAATTGCTACATATGTATATATGAAAAAATGAATTCAAACTTGTCTCTGATTAAAAAAACAAACCCTGTCTCTCAACGATAAATTAAATGTTTGTGGCTATGACAGATAAAATTACTTGTATGTTAATCAGGCTGACGACATTGAAACTTATACCAGATTCACAAGAATAATAGGGTTGTATTCAAATTGAACCCTTTCTGCAATTATACTTTCTGCAATTAAACAAAGCAGACATTGAACCCTTCAATTAAGCTTCGCTGAAACACATGCATATATGAACTTTTTTTTTTTGGCACATGCATATATGAAGTTTCTATTAGTCAAATTAATGATGGTCAAGAGATCATTTAATTTGGATAATTAACCAAATTAAAGTTGACGCAAATCTCTGTCATTTGGTTGGTTTCTAACTAGAATAATAGCCTTTCTCATATTGTTGTACCTACCACTCCAATCATAATCCTCAATGAATTTGTCAAACATTATCTTTTCTGGAGTCGGCAAGGGATAGCAGCAGCTCATGAAAGCGTACGACAAGTTGACAAAGATGACAATAAAATTCTTTCATTTTAATAAAATTTCTAAATGTTCATACTAGTTTTTATTGGTTGATTTAGTGCTAGATTTGTATATTATATTTATATGAAAATAAAAACAATCCTTTGAAATTTAAATAGGAAGATTAAAATATTCATTGGAAAACAACTTTCACAAATTGTTGCAGAGGGAAAATCTAACAACGGCAAACTCGTTGTAAAAAATAGTCCCAGTTATGGGGAAGAATTGAAGTAGAATTTAATTTCAGGAAGAAAGCTGCAGTTCATTGACAAAAGACAACGCTGCAATCTTCCAAACCCAACAAAGAATTCAAAGAAAAAATAGACCGCCTTTTTTTTTTTTTTTTAAATTTAACAAAAAACAGTCTTTTGATTGTCTAATCCTTATTTCCCCATAAAACTTTTCCTTTCGTCTCTGAACATCTCCACCACCGTCACCACCAGCTCAATCACCGCAGAGAACCAATCCCTCCATTATAACCCACTGAAGTTTCTTTGTAAAGATACAGACTTCCCTTTGAAAAGCAAAAAAATTTGTCATTTTTTTCCTTTTATATTTCTCTTCCTAATGTGTAGATCAAAGAAGAGTACAGATGTAATCCAACCAAGATCTTCAAATTCGAAAGGACTATATTTTCTATCTTCATCCCACCCAAAACCTCAAAATCCACAAAATCTTCACCTTCTTTAACAGACCCATCTTCCGGCACTTCCACAACCAGCAATTTAGTTCTTTCCTCAAGCTACTTTTACAACAACTCCAACTACTCAATTTCAAGTTAAACCTCCATAACTCTCTCATTTTGGCACTGCTGAGCTACGATGGGAAGTGACAAAGGAGGAGGGATAAAAAATTGTTGGGAGATCAAATAGTAAAGATATGAAGATTGAAGGAACTAGAGGCTACATTGCACCTGAGCTTCAATTTAGTGGTTTTGGAGCTGTTCAGTGGACAGAAGGCCTTGAAGTTTTTGGTTGAAGGAAATGGAGGGTATAAGAGAGTGAGTTTTATAGATACCGCTAGAAAGGCAGCAGCTGGACGCAGTTGAGGGGTGAGGAGGTGGGTGGATAGGAGGTTGAAGGACTCTTTTCCAGTGGAAGTGGCTCAGAAGATGGTCTTGGTGGCATTGGAATGTTTGGTGGAGTATCCAGGGAAAAGGCCTGATATGAACAAGGTTGCAAGGCAGGTTTCAAAGTTGTATTTGAAGTCAAAGAATTGGGCTGATAAGATTGGTTTGCCTACTGATATCTCAGTCTAATGGCTCCAAGGTAAACCATACATAATTGATTGCGGCTTTTGGTCATTTGTATGAGCAAATTTTTTGGGGTTGTCAATTTCATCAGTAATAAGTGTTAATAGAGTTTTTTTTTTTTTTTTTTTTTGCATTTTTATCTTTACAATTAATGATTCTTTTAAATAACCAGAGGTACTTGTAGATTTTTTGTACATGTTGTGAATAATATACAGAGATTAAGATTTGAGGTCATTTTTCTGCTTCAATGAGTGCTGCTACATATTACAGATAAATGGTACTAGGTAACTGACTGCTTCACATGGTTGTTTGGCGTTGATGGTTTACTATTGGTTTTGAATCTTTGATATAAGACTCTAAGTAGTTAAGATCTTCTCAACTTTTGTTTTATGCAGTCATATTTCATCTTCAAAAGCTTTTTATGTCCTGATCTTTATGGATGGATATAGAGATGTTTGAGCGCAGACCCTGGGAATTAATGGAACTGGCCAACGTCAATGTTATCATTAGTCTACTCACTGTTTTCCATTGCCCCATTTTGTAATTATTGGACTGTAATCAAGCCATGAAACTTAACTGCAATTACTATTAATGTTTTTCAAATGTTACAATCATAGATACTACTATTACAGTGTCAATTTCTTTGATGCTATTACTCTTTGCTTATCCAGAAGTAAAATCGCATGGTCAGACTACTTCAAATTGCATGCCTAACCTATTTTCTCAACATATGGTTCATCTAGTGGGCACCACTTACATAAGCATGAGCTACAACTGTATTTCTCCCTCTTCAAGATCTTCATTCAGACCCGCCTCATTAACTTCGTCTTCCGAATACTCTTTGATGAACAAACCGAGTTGATGCAGTGGATTCCCAAGAGAAAGAGAGCATCCACTCAGAATATCCAGTTCCTTTACAATCTCCAAATTCAATTCAATCCCAGCTGTGTTTTCCATCCTTTGCAATGCAACCCTAGCAGCTTTTCTTTCTTTTTCTCTTTGTTTTCTCAACCCAACCTCCGCCTTCAGTTTTGCTGCAGCTTTGGCAGCTCTCATCTGAGCTTCAATCTTTGCCCTTTCTTCAAGCAACCTTCTTTCCAACTTTTCCTTTTCCTGTTGCATCCTCACTGGATCAGCTTTGGCACCATGAACAAGTAATAAATTCTGTTGAGCTTTCAAAATGGTGTCAGCGAAACGACTTTTCAGCATTGCAGCGCGGAGAGCTTTCTTCGGTGACATTTGTAGGTCAGCAATAGGAGTTAAAAATGCATCTGTTGGAGTTGTAAGTTGAGAACTAAGACGAACACTCTCAGGAACCAAAGCACTTACAGCCCCATCAGAACGTTGAATACTACCAGACTTGCTCACTTGTGATGATGTCAATGTGGATTTTCCCTTGCAATCCAATTTAGTGGCATCAGCAGCACTACACATTCTAAGATCTGAAGCCAATGATCTTTTGGAAGATGCATGGTGTGACTTATTTGGAATTTTGCTACACCGACACTTAATGCCGCTGCCACATGAGTTGCATTTGTTGGCACCCTGGCTCAATGTTTGCATGGCATTGATAGACTCATGAGAACGCCCACTTCTACCATTACCGATATGCCTTTTTGTAAGTTTTTTCCTGCCAACTTTACACAGTTATTTGTTGGTTCTGGAAACTCAACCTGATTCAAAGGCACCTTCACAATCACAGCCTTATCCTCAGACTTAGATGGCTTTGATTTCTTGGACGAGAGAACAGCTTTGGAAGATGTAGCAGGGAAGTTGGTTTTAGGTTTGGCTTCGTCCGTCCTGTCAAACGTATCCAACAAAACCCTAGTTTTTTTATATGGATCACGTATTTCGGCTGCGTAATATCTACTCCATCGCCTTTTCCTTATTCCCCTGTAATGCCCTTCTCTTGAAGACGCCATTAAAAACAACCAAACAAACCAAAGATTGAAACAAGAATGCAAGAAGAAAAGAGGATTCAGGCTTGTACGTATTTATAAGATTAAAAAAAAGGAAACAAAAGAGTTCGTTTGTTTGTGATTTATTATCCTTTCCCTACCCTTTGGTTCTCCTCATATATATAGGTTTCTTTTCTTTTGAATCTGATCCAACGGCGGACATTGATTTTATAAACATCAACATATAGCATTACTGTGTAAAAAAAATGGGGCCTCGGTTTAAAAATAAAATATTTAAATAATGACTGATAGCCATCGCCGCATTAGATTGGAAAGACAAATTGGGCCATGTTGGATTTCAAACCCGAAGAAGACAAATGGGAAAACGGGTATACAATTTGGGCCATGTTGGATTTCAAACCCGAAAAAGACAAATGGGTAAACGGGTAGACAATTGGGCCATTGTCTTGGAGGCTAAGAATGTGGCTTAAAAACCCTTTTCTGCTTTTTTATTTAGAAAAAGGAGTTTCTTTCACATACCTGAACATATTCTAGGGCAATGATAAGTTGGGGTTCATGCTGACATTTTTGAAGTCATTTGCGGATATGAATTATGGTTTGATTTCTGTATAAAATCTTCAGCCGAGTATCTGTAGTATTAATGATTTGTGAAATTCTTGTTTGATTTATGTGATTCTGTTCTAGAATACTGTATCCTAACATTTAACTCAAGGTTGGTACCTGATTTCCTACTCAAAGATTCACTCATGGATTTTCTGTCCATTAAGTTTTTCAACATACACTCATGAATAGTGAAAATCATAATTGTGAATGATGATTAAAGTCTTATTAAAAAATAATGCATAAAAATGCAACGAAGAAAAGTCAGACCCAGATTTGAATCCTTTTTCCCAAATCAAAAACAGATACTAGTGCTGGTTTAAATTTGAAATTCATATGTTTTTCTGTAGCAGTGACAGGTTCAATTTGTGATATAATCCAGTGCTGCCTTCTATTATTCGCATGATGGAAATCAAAATTAAGGATGACAGTTTGGTTGGCACACCTGTTGTTGATCAAGGCTCATCTTTTCAAATAAAGGTGCTGTTCTTCGCCAAAGCTCCAGATATAACTGGGTTGACTGAATTGCCATTGGAGGTTTAATCGGGTAGTACTACACAGGATTGTCTAAACCAGCTTGTGGGTAAGTTTCTAAACTTGGAAGAGATTCGTGGTGCATCGTTCTTGCTCTCAACGAGGAATATACAACTAAGTCAGCTGTTGTTAAGGAGAAAGATGAGTTGGCCATTATAGCTTCTATAGTTGGTGGATGAACACTTTTGTTTCATAGTTTTACAAGAACTAAAAGAATAAAATTTCTCCAATTCTGTATAATGTTCACTGGAGCAGTGAGGGAGCCTCATGCTCATGAATAGAGAGGCACTTGAATCTGATATATTTACTGAGTCATTTATATTCATGGTTCAATTTTTTTATGCAATTTGTTCATTTGGAAGATGGAAATATATGTACAAGTTATTGAAAACGCAATAGCTACTTATGTTCATATTCCTTTTCCCTTCTCATACCATCACCTCTCATTGGATTTTGCCTTGCATTGAGAGCATTTTCTATTGTAAATTATCTATGTGGAGAATAATAGAATACGTGTTCATAGGTGGGATTGATATGGTTTAGGTTCGGTTGACATACTGTTTAGGCTCGAGTTCACCCGTTTAAATTATAAATATTATTAAATATATATATATTTTTTTCCTTCATGTTCACAACATACACAAATTGAATCTAGGATTTGAGTTTTAACAAAACTTCAATTTTATGATTTTTTTGCTTTCACTTTCACATGCATTAAAATTTAGGTTGTTGTTGAAAGGTATGCATCATTATTAGACTACATATATGATAATTAATATATACACATTATTTACCTTTCACCAGAGATTCCATTGAAATCATGCTTGTCAACCAAAAGAAAAAAGTTTCCTTCTTTCGTACGGATTTCTGTTCAAAATTCAGCTGGTTCTTGCTTTGACCAAGAGAGATATGTTTGAGTTGTGAGCCAATATTTGTTTGAAAAACCTTGGCATGATCCAATATTATCTTCAATCATAATCCAATCTTTGAATCGTTTCCTATTGCAATATTTACAAGCTAACTTTGAATTGTTTCCTATTGCAATATTTACAAGCTAAGGCCTTGAACTGTTCAAAATAAGCTTGGTATAATCAAATTCATACAAAATGTTACAAATAGTGGCAGAAACCACATATATCTTAGAACAATAGATTGAATTTTCACCAATATTCATCCTAATCTTTATCAGGGCTGATGTGGAAAACAACAAATAACTTACCCAAAAAAGTTCAAACTTTCAAGCATAAGCCAGCTGTATGCAATAAAGGTCAATAATGACCAACAGGCTGACCCACTCCTCATCTATAAATACCCATCTTCACTAATTGCCATAACACAGTCACAAACAAGCCAAAGCAGGAAATTAATTGAGATAGTGCAGTAGAGTGAAAGGAACAAAAAGATGGCTTCAGATGAATGCAAAGGTAACTTTCAATGCCAATAATGCCTTGTTGTACTAGTAAATTCCTTTCCTTTAATACAATTATATATATACTCTTGTGCCTATAAATATATGTAGGGAAAAGTTCGTGGCCGGAGCTTGTGGGGAAGAAAGGGGAGGATGCAGCAGCAACAATTGAGAAGGAGAATCCTCATGTCAATGCTAAGATAGTGTTGGAAGGAACAATAGTCACTGAGGATTTCTGGTGCGCTAGGGTTCGAGTTTGGGTTAACACTTATGGGATCGTTACTAGGGTTCCGATCATTGGTTAAATAGAAAAGGGCTTAATCATGCTTGACTAGCAAGTTACTTGCTTTTATTCTTCAATAATGTTGTGTAAAATGTTAATATAGGGATCTATATGTTGCAATTTAAAATAAAAATAATGGCCCAAGTTATGGTTATATATATAGATCTCATGGTCTCTATGTAAATGTGTAATTTGTTTCAACTTTGGAATAAGATGTTAAACAATTTCAATTAGAGCTTACCTTTTTCATATTTTTGTCCTTATCTTGAATTTGTAATTAAGGTAGAAGTATTTCAAAATTATGATGTTGTCGATCTAAGGGGTCCATATTATTTGCTAAATGCCCTCTTACATCCTCATAATATTTATCTCTTCGAGAAGGATTAATTCTTATTATTGTATGTTTAGGGAATACTATCATGAAATAACAATATTCTTCCAGTTTTTTCTATGATCTTATTTTGATTGATTTTTGAAGAAAAAGATTCGAACCTCACTTTTTGAAGAAGGAATGCATGCACCTGCGTACGTACTGTTGAGGCAAATTTTACACTAAAAAAATATACAATTGAGAATCTATCCTTAACACATCTAAGTTATTATATTTGAGATATAGATAGATAAATCATTAGATGATTGATTCAATTCACTGACAAAAAGAAAAAAAAAAAAAAAGAAAACAACCCCTAATTAAATCTTTATTTTGTTGATGAAAGAGTAGAATTTGTATGTTGATGCATAAGTTGATAACTTAATCGGTGAAGAAGTTGATAACTTAATTGGTGAAGTAAGTATGATTTGATCAATTTGTTGATGATATGAACAATTTTGAGGCATCCTATGCTACAAGTATTTCAATGTGGATGTCAAAGACAAGGCTCATACAAGAATATAGAAAGGTTATTCAAACCTTCCATATACACATTGCCCCTAGTGGATTAATTACTTAATGAATGAAGATTTAGTTTGAAATCATTGTTCTGAAACAAGGGAATAAGAGATTAAAATAAGTTAACATTTATCCAATACTTGTCTCCTTTGTATACACATTAATCATCAATGAAATGGCCAACAAAAATCATAATTGAATATTTTACAATAATATTTTTAATTTGAATATGAAATCAGGATACTAATCAATTAATCTTCATTAATGAATTGTTAGTTCAGTTGTACTGATTAAAATTGTATAAAAAGAAAGTCAGGAAAAATAAAAAGAATTTCTAAATATGTATACATGAAAAGAAGAATTCAAACCTGTCTGTCTGAATAAAAACAAACCTTGTCTCATAAGGATAAATTAAGTGCTTGCGGCTATGACAGATAAGATTAACTGCATGTTAATCAGGCCGACGACATTAAAACTTAGACCAGATTCACCAGAATACCAGGGCTGTATTCAAATTGAAGCATATGTAATCAATTAATGTTGGTGATAACTGATAAGGTTCCGAAGTTGTACTTTTCTGCAATTAAAGAAAGCAGACATTGAACCCTTCATATAAGCTTTGCTGAAACACATGCATATATGAACTTTCTACTAGTCAAATTAATGGTGGTCAACTGATCATTTAATTTGAATAATTAACCAAATTAAAGTTGACGCAAATCTCTGTCATTTGGTTGGTTTCTAACTACAATAATAGTCTTTCTCATATTGTTGATGTGCCTACCACTCCAGTCATAATCCTCAATGAATTTGTCAAACATTATCATTTCAGGTGGCGGCATGGGATCGCAGCAGTATGACAAGTTAACAAAAGATGACAATCAGATTCTTTCATGTTAATAAAATTTCTAAATGTTCATACTAGTCTTTATTGGTTGATTTAGTGCTAGATTTGCATGTTATATATTTATATGAAAATAAAAAAAAAATCCTTCGAAATTTAAATAGGAAGATCTAAAAATTCGTTAGAAACTTTAATAACCTTCACAAATTGTTGCAGATGGAAAATCTAACAATGGCAAATTTTCTTATCTGGTTGTAAAAAATAGTACCAGTCATGGGGAAGAATTGAAGTAGAATTTAATTTCAGGAAGAAAGCTGTAGCTTATTGACAAAAGACAACACTGCAATCTTCCAAACGCAACAAAGAATTCAAAGCAAAAATAGACAACCTTTTTTTTTTTAATTTCCCCCATAAAACTTTCCCTGTTGTCTCTAAACATCTCCACTACCGCCACCACCAGCTCAACCACCGCAAAGAACCAATCCCTTCATTATAACCCACCGAGGTTTCTTTGTAAAGATGCTGACTTTCCCTTTGAAAAGCAAGAAAATTTGTCATTTTTTTCCTTGTATATTTCTCTTCCTAATGTATAGATCAAAAAAGAGTACAGATGCAATCCAACCGAGATCTTCAAATTCAAAAGGACTATCATTTCCATCTTCATCCTAAACACCCAAAACCTCAAAATCCACAAAATCTTCATCTTCTTTATCAGACCAATCTTCCAGCACTTCCACAACCAGCAATTTAGTTCTTTCCTCAAGCTACTTTTACAACAACTCCAACTACTTAATTTCAAGCTAAATCTCCATAACTCTCTCATTTTGGCACTGCTGAGCTATGCGGGGAAGTGACAAAAGGAGGGATAAAAAATTGTTGGGAGATCAAAGAGTAAAGATATGAAGATTGAAGGACCTAGAGCCTGCATTGCACCTGTGCTTCAATTTAGTGGTTTGGTGACACATAAATGTTATGTTTATGCATTTGGGGTTGTGGTTTTGGAGCTGTTCAGTGGACAGGAGGCCTTGAAGTTTTTGGTAAAAGGAAACGAGGGTATAAGAGAGTGAGTGCTATAGATACTGCTAGAGAGGCGGCAGCTGGACGCAGTGCAGGGGTGAGGAGGTAGGTGGATAGGAGGATGAAGGACTCTTTTCCAGTGGAAGTGGCTGAGAAGATGGTCTTGGTGGCATTGGAATGTTTGGTGGAGGATCCAGGGAAAAGGCCTGATATGAACAAGGTTGCAAGGCAGGTTTCAAAGTTGAAATTATGCTTTCACTTTCACACGCATTGTTGAGAGGTTTGGATCATTATTAGAATACATATAAAATAATTAACATATGCATTTTGTTTACCTGTCACCAGATATTCCGTTGAAATCATGCTTGTCAACAAAAAAAAAAGTTTTCTTTTTTTGCACGGATTTGTTCAAAATTCAGCTGGTTCTTGCTTTGACCAAGAGAGATATGTTTGAGTTGTGGGCCAATATTTGTTTGAAAAACCTTCGCATGATCCAATATTATCTTGAATCATAATCCAATCTCTGAAACAAGCTTTCCTATTGCAATATCTACAAGCTAAGGCCTTGAACTGTTCAAAGAAGCTTTGGTGTAATCAAATTCATTGACAATGTTACAAATAGTGGCAGAAACCACATATATCTTAGAAATATAGGTTGAATTTTCACCAATATTCATCCTAATCTTTATCAGGGCTGATGTGAAAAACAACAAACAATTTACCCAAAAAAACTTCAAAGTTTCAAGCATAGGCCAGCTGTATGCAAGAACGGTCAATAATGACCAACAGGCTAACCCACTCCTTATCTATAAATACCCATCATCACTAATAGCCATAACACAAAGTCACAAACAAACCAAAGCAGGAAATTAATTGAGATAGTGCGGTAGAGTCAAAGGAACAAAAAGATGGCTTCAGATGAATGCCAAGGTAACTTTCAATGCCAATAATGCCTTGTAATTGTACTAATAAATTCCTTTCCTTTAATACAATTATATAAATTCTTGTGCCTATAAATATATGCAGGGAAAAGTTCGTGGCCGGAGCTTGTGGGGAAGAAAGGGGAGGATGCAGCAGCAACAATTGAGAAGGAGAATCCTCATGTCAATGCTGAGATAGTGTTGGAAGGAACAATAGTCACTGGGGATTTCTTGTGCACTAGGGTTCGTGTTTGGGTTAACACTTATGGGATCGTTACTAGGGTTCCGATCATTGGTTAAATTGCAAAGGGCTTAATCGTGCATGACTAGCAAGTTACTTGCTTTTATTCTTCTATAATATTGTCTAAAATGTTAATATGGGGATCTATATGTTTTAATTTAAACTAAGAATAATGCCCCAAGTTATGGTTATATATATAGACCTCATGGTCTCTATGAAAGTGTGTAATTTGTTTTAACTTTGAAATAAGATGCTAAAAGATTTGAATTAGAGCTTACCCTTTATCATATTTTTGTCAATCTTTTGAATTTGTGATTGTAGATATTTAATTTTGCCCTAATCACTTCAGCTTTAAATCATTTTTGCATATTGATTCGAATGATTTAATTTGAACTAATTTAAACGTAATAATTGAATTAACGTGTTTCAGGGATTATTTGACTAATAGAAAGTTCATATATGCATGTGCCAAAAAAAAAAAAAAGTCATATGCATGTGTTTCAGCAAAGCGCATCTAAAGGGTTCAATGTCTGCTTTATTAAATTGCAGAAAGTATAATTTCGGAACCTTATCAGTTATCACCAACGTTAATTGATTACGCTTCAATTTGAATACAGCCCTGATATTCTGGTGAATCTGGTCTAAGTTTCAATGTCGTCGGCCTGATTAACATTCAAGTAATCTTATCTGTCATTGCCACAAACACTTAATTTATCGTTGAGAGACAACGTTTGTTGTTTAGGTCGGAGAGACAGATTTAAATTCATTTTTTCATGTACACATATGTAGGAATTCTTTTTATTTTTCTCGACTTTCTCTTTTTACAATTCCATTGGTATATCGCGACAGTTGATTCTTTAAGATAAATTCATATATATTTTCATACTCAAATAGCTGGATTTAAGAAATAAAAAGAAAAAGGAGAATTCCATTGGAATCTAATGGTATCTGGTTTACAAAATGCAGAAAACATGCAAGAAGAACAATTTCCATCCATGTGAAAGCAAAACTGTAAAGAAGGAAAGCATCACATAGCATAATATAAAGTTGAAAAGTCATTGCATGTCAGAAAGAAGATAAATTAGATTTTTTTTATTTTAATTTTGGCTACTAATTAAGGTTTCAATTCGAGACTTTCAATCTTGAAACAGATTTCAGCACTATTAAATTAACTATTCATTGTTGAAGATTAATTGATAAGTATCCTTATCTCATATATTCAAATTAAAACTATTATTGTAAAACATTCATTTATTATTTTTTAGCCATTCAAAATATTCATTTATTATTTTGTGTATAGATAGGAGAAAAGTATTGGATAAATATCAACTTATTTGAATCTCATAGTCCCTCGTTTCAGA